CGGAATCATACGTTTACGCCATGGTCAAGGTAATAGTTCATAGAGCTTGAAAAATTTGGGCGATGCTTATAGCTTTAAGCTCTATGTACTTTCACAGGATCGGAATCTGGAATGGTTCCCGAGATTGCGAGCTAAGTCATTAGCAGCGGACGAAGGTGAAGGAGAACAAGTGGAATTAAGGAGTCTACAGTCACAGTTAGAATCCACGCAAATGTTAGTTAAATGTCTGTCCCAGCAACTTACGGAGCTTCGTGATCAGGTAATAATCACTAATTCTCCAAATTACTTCGAAAATCAGCAGGATTATTCTATAAATTGAGCGATCAAAAATGATATTAAGTTATATAATTTTTTTCTTCTCATAGATGACGGAGCAACGAAAGCAGAAACAGCGGCTAGGCCTTCTGAATTCTGCTTCTGCAATATTGCATAATATACCCACATAAATTCAAGATATGTATTTTATATTTTCTTTCTTATTTCGGACGAATCTCAGTTTGATACTCCAAGACAGTACATACGTAATATTCGTGTGTTCTTAACTAAAAGCATTTAAAGATACGAGAATATATCGAATGGGTAACCCGAGGCATTTTTACGGTTTTGTTCCTAATTTTAATGAAAGTAAAATACGCTTAGGGCATTAAGATTATCACTCTCCTTTTACTGTAAAGGCTCTTGGCCCAATTTATCGATCGATTATCAAGGAACTCGAATACCGTAAATTGCATTGTCTGTCAATGTACGAATATTGTTATGCATATATAGAGAAATTAACCGTATCCATTGACATATTAGAACAGATAAATCACTTAAATCTTCCAGTTATTAAAATGTTATAAGGTAATATTCTAATATCTTTTAGAATATTCTCGTTTTTATGTGATCACTATATTATGTTTTAGTATTGTTATATTTATGTGTATCCACACAAATGGATATATTAATTAGAGTTTCAGTGTTTTATAACAGTTATAAATTTTATATTCTCTTTTGCGTTATTGAAGCTATGGTTGTGTTACGCGAATTTTCTTTTGATATAATAAATATTTTTTTAACTAGAAATATGACTAAAGATATATTTGTAAAATTGTATCTACAGATTTTCTGTGTTATATATTTAATTATACATATTTCTAGAGAATCCGCGTTTATAGTTCAGAATAATTTTTTTTCGTTGGTATCACATTCTTTATGGTTATTTTCCTACTTTGTGTATAAATGTGATAAAACATGCAAGATTATTTAACATGTATACTTTGGTGAAAGTACATATTTAATTTCGTAATAATAAAACATTCAAATTTTAGTTTCGTAAAAAATGTTGAAATGGTATCCTACAATATTTAGATTGATACATTGTTAATGATTTATAAATACGGTTGGAAGATATATGCATAATTGCGAAAAATTAAAATGCATTTGGGATATCAGCTCGTTGGTTCAGTGTTCACGAAGACGATGATAATCAAAAGCTATATCACCAATATAATTAACGAAAACACGGTAATTAATAGGGATCAATGGACTCTATCTAATATGTATAGGAAAAATCTTTCAAATTTTCAGATGATGGGCGAATTTTAGAATGTTGTTGTCCTATTGATTGTTAATGTATAAACGATAGTTGACATATTATAAATTTTAATCAAGTTGTGTTATTGTAACATGATATAGATGCATTAATTGAACATTGCATGCCACAGTGCTGTTATTACGGAGTTAAAATTTAACTCCTTTTGAAAATACTTGAGATTTGTGTCTATATGCGAATATATAATAATATATACATTTTATTTGTTTTTAATGTAATATCGAATTTAATGCAATTGTATATATTTTATTAGGTATCGTAATCATCTAGAAAAATGAAACTGTTACTTAGAGCAAATTACTTTTTATCCCTTATTATATTATTAATTGTATGTATATCGATCTCCTCATGTTTCCTCTCTTTCTTTCATCTCAGACATACCAGTTTATATTGTTAAGATCTTTAAATCATATCTATTAAAATATGTGTTACTTTTAATGTCTATCTCGTGCGGTCGTTTTTATTATATAATCTACATATATAGCTATATTATGCATGTAGATTGCGTTCATACTTACATGTGAATAAATTATGTCCTTTTTTAATGAAGTTACATTCATTATGTGATTCTTATATATTCGAGATGTAATAATTTTTCGTAACAGATTCACTCACAAATTAATATATTAATAGTGCAGAAAATGTTCGTGTATCACGAGACACGGTAGTGTCTCGCACCAAGTGTAAGCGCAGCTAGCACCGCGCGCGCGAGATTTTCATGACAAGAACAGTATGCAACGTGAACACGCACGTGCACATGCACATGTTACGTGATATTTTATGTAATAACATATAAGTTTTATGTGCATTAATAATATATTTTCAGTATATTGCAAATTTTAATGGAAAAAATAGGAATGGGATTTATACAAGTCTCCTGCAAGCTTTATCGAAATTGGCGAAGCGCGTAGTGTCCTCTCGTTAATTTCATACGAGATTAGAAACGACCAGATATTAACGCAATTGAAAAATTAATTTCAAAGTAGATTTGTATGTAGGATACAAGAGATGCAAGAGACAATGATATACATGTGTTAACTTAATCATCTGTATATTTTGGGGGTTTTTTTCTAAAAATTAAAATTGCATTTATTATATTATTCACTTAAATTATATTTCATTATCGTAGTATATATATAATATATTTGATATTGCAGTTGCTGATGTATAAATGAAGTTAATACGTCATAAAAGTAGAACTAATGGTATAATGTATTGTAGAATGCCACACATTAATGCAAAATATGTAATATATTTTTACTGAGCCAGATATTCAAAATTATAATTACTTTTGTCGCTAATGATGTACTGAAGTAACTACTGAAATAACTGCAATTTTTATTCATGTTTCGTGTTCTTCGTTATTTAATATCCTATCTGCTTTTTATTTCCGGTAATTTTTAAAATAAATCACATATAATCGCCTAAAAAGATTTCTTACAGTAATGAATGCTGACCTGCAGCTAGACAAAAGGACAATTAGTGTTTTATTTTACTTTATTTAGACTTTATATGAAACAATTGACTATTTATTGTGACTTATATATATATTATGTATATACGCGGCTAGTACATGTACATGTAACACGTATTCTTTTCTTGTAGGTCGTACATTTGTGTAAAAGGTATGCTTTTCAGACGAAAAGCCAGCTATTGTATAAATCCGCAGTGATAATGTTGAACGCAATTTCTACAAATGTAACGTGAGAATATTGCATGAACACAAAGAACGTGTGGCGCTTGTCGTATTTCCGTTTCTGGGGAGGAGATTAAATTCTCAACGTTTCTTTCACATCTACGTTTCCCTTTTATATAAATTACTATATATTGCTGTACCTCGATTTCGATCTCATTGCGTTAGTCGATTCTGCGATAATTAAATAGGTACGGACTTTCATATCTGTTTTGACGAGGGTTCTTCGACGTAGTTTGCTTATCTTACGAATTAACATAACATATCGCAATGTGTGAATGCCTTTTTCTGCGCTAAATGTTAAAGTTTTCAGACAAAATTTGTGATGCAAATCATAATATATATCGATAATCAGTTTGCTCTGATTTATCCCAAGATTTATTTCTTTAAAGAAGATGAAAGAATAAATTGAAACGAATTAATACATTCGTAAGCTATTTTGAGAATTTAAAACGTAACTTTAATATTATAGAAAGACAGCTAAATCTCGATATAACTATATGTATCCATTTTTAAAAGAATGCCCATAAAAATTAGAATTGATCAGGATACGCACACAGGATTTTAATACAAATTTCTTTGTGTTGCATCTGGGATACAAAGATCCTTTCAGAAAATGCATGAGATTGACTAGTATTATTATACTTAGGCCAACACGTTACATTATATTACGCGTTATATTTAGTCAGATGTAAAAAAACAACGATCTCTCCGTAGATTTATTATAAAATCAATGTGGAAAATCGTAGAAATATCCTCGCACTGTTGTACAACCGAAGTACACGATCTGGTTCTACTGGCTGGCATTTTGGTGAATTGCGTACATTAAATATTTACGACCTAGCATTTTATTTCCGTTCCTCTTTTACTCCGGTAATAATCAATCACGAGTTTGCCAGCGAATCGGTGCGCCCCATCCCCGTGAGACACTCGGAGAACGGATGTTTGACGTGAGTCTTCAATTGAAGATCTTTCGAGAGAGGGGAGCGGGAGAGAGGGAGGGAGAAAGATGAATCAGACATGGAACGATAATTTCAGGATGAGGGCATTCCGCTCGGCTGACAAAACGTATAACAATAAATCGCGAAGTGTCTTCTGGCACGCGAAGCTCGTTCGTTAAAATACATTCTCTCTTCCGTCCGTTTCGGAGCCGCGTAAGATTACTTATCTTATCGTTACTTTACAGTAATCCGTAGACTTAGGGGGGCAGACAATTAATCGTGTTCTGTACAAATTCTATCAACGCCGCTAGCTATGTACACAATGTCGCTACCGTTTGCTGTAATCTCTTACACGTGTAATTTGGCATTCGCGTGAGAGAGGTGACTCGTGTGATTCTCGCTACTTCAAATCCGTGCATCGCGTTCTTGCATGTTAATCTGCTTTGTATAGGTATGTATAATATATACACGTGCCATCGCACTGGCATTAATATTGCTCCGAAAGAAAAGTACGAAAATTTGTGAAAATCGTGAAAATATAATTAGAAACGATGATTAGGAAAAGCAGCTAATTTATGAAAAAGTATTTATCAAAAAATAATTGAAATCTACAATAAAATATTGAAGAATAATGTTTAACAGGTAAAGAATTAGATTAAAGAAGTAGAAAATCTATCAAATATAGGACATATGTTGAAGAATAATGTTTTATCGCGATGTATAATTAAATAACGATCAAATGTGAGGAGTAGAGCAATGAAAGATCTTGAAACAACTTTCATTATTTATTTGCATAGAGAATATAAAAAGTTTCAAATTAATCGGATGAGGAGTGGACGATCTAAAGACTTCACAGATCCATTTCCTTAGATCGAGTGACAGTCGGCTGTGCGAGCTAATCGCTTATTAGACGTGCTGATCGTCACTCTCTTTAATTCCGACGTACATGTATGTGTGTATAATATGTATATGCATACGATTCGATCGAAAAACGTTGAACTCTCTGGCTCGTTAACTTTCCATTCACGCGCAAAAGACCGGATCGTACATTGTTATTGAAAAATATAACAGAGATCAGTTAAAATTTCCTCGGTATTTGTCGCCTGCGTCGTGCAACGCGTTCTTTCGCGCCCTAAAATATTTCTCTCGTGATAATCACGCAGCCGGGGAGGGATTAACGAGCCAGCCCGCGAAATCTCGACCGTCGATCGGGGAAGTGCCGGGATGTGCCGTCTTCTTAAAACATTCTTTTACATCGAGCGACGTAAAACGAGGACCGACGCGAGTCCTCACCGTTTATGTACACGTGAGACAGTAACGTGGGGCTTCCGCGGATTTTCGATTAACAGGAACGTGCGTGCATTAACGCGAGATTAACAGTCTCAACAGTCGAACGGGCGCGCGAGTAGGATCGCGAACGCGAGGACGAGGATGAGGCCCGTCCACCGTGGCTCGGCCTTGCTCGAGGAGCCCACTACGTGCCAGTTCGGGGCTGGCGATGGTCCGCTTTTGCGAGTGTTGGCGATCACCGTCTGGCTTCGCCATCTCATCGTGTACTGAGGGGCGGTCCTCCCGAGGGCCTGCAGCCTGAAAAACGAAAGCATTTTTATCCGTGTCGATAATACTCTCACTCCGTCAACTTGAAACCTCAATCTATTTCTTTTTACGAATATTATGCGCTTTATTTAAAGCTGCTCATGTCTATTGACGTGAAGAGAGAAAGAGAGAGAGAGAGAGAGAGAGAGAGAGAGAGAGAGAGAGAGAGAGATTTACTATGTTTTTCAAAGTACCTTTTCTTCGTTCATAAATTTAATCCAAGATATTATAAATTGAAGATGATTGGCAATAATAATAACTTAATTTCAAATGCGAGAGAAGTAAATTATTATATAGCGAAAGTAAAGAGAATTGCACTTTAAGAGGCGAGATATTTGCAATAATACTGCTTACAAACCCAGGCCTTTAATACAATATAAAACAACAAATTAAATAATAATAATAATGTATACGCGGGCCTATGTAATTTAACATTAAGAGTACGTAAGTACAACATAATAATTAAAGAAAGTATTAGCAAAATATTTGCAAATTATAAAACAAATATTAGCGAACTTATGAGAATACAATGCTCAAAAGAGAATGTGTGCTACCGGCGCTCGGTTAACCAGCAAGACATATCTCGCGCGATTCACACGTGAAATCTGTACGTCCAAGAATCAAAACGCTAGGTAACTTGAAATTTCTTCTTCATTGCGACTTATGATCATTTCAACTGCCACAAACTTAAATTGTCCATTAAAGAATGCTGCTCTATAGTTGCAAAGATTTAGTTTCCTTTTCATTCTCACAGGCAAGTTTGATCCTTGCCAAAGCTTTATCATGGAATTTCATACACAGTCTTGCCATTTACGTGGCGCGATATTTCCTCCCTTTCTAGTCTTCTCTTTTAACTTTTCAGGTTGTAACTTGGAAAGGATTATTATTCTTAGTACCAATAAAAATGATAAAAACTACTCTGCCATTGTGCGACTCAACCGCCGATCGGTCACCGGCCGGAGTCACCGGCAAAGTACCGCTGAAGTGAGGAAGCTGCTGTTAAGCAGATTTTTCTTCGTACACCGCAGATTATGGAACAAGGGTGGAGTAATGTGCCGCGGTTGTAACTGGGATTGCCGTCGTAAGGTATGAACGATGGCCGATTATTAATCAGCGGACAATTTCTTCGCGCGGAGGCGACAGTAACGGATCGCGCGGGCATCAATCCCACCCCCGCGATTTCGCGCGGTACACACGGAGGAGGATCGAGCACCGATAAAACGCCGTTATACCTCAGCCGAACGTGGCCCATAATCTCCCGCCGTCGGAACTGTCGCGGAAACTGTCGTTAAACGTAGCTAATAGACAAGATCGCGGCGGAACTCTCGCCGGGGTTAATCGGCCGCCGGGGTAAGAAACTCACCTAACCACCGCGGTATTCATCTTCCACGGCAGGGTGAAATTCTTGTGCGTGTCCCTGGAGCAGAACGTGTGCAGCCTGGGCCCGGCGGGGTCGCCGTCCCTCCTGTACTCGTGTATAGTCAGGTTCCACGCCGTGCACGGCCCTGTCAAGTAGAAGAGACGTAGCATTGAGCCGACGGCGTTGCAGCACTCGCAATATACATCGGGTGGTCAATTCTGTATCTTACACTACGGGGAAAATGTTAAAAGTGAGTTGTCTCTTTCCAACTGGCCCCTTGAAAAAGAGACAAGACCGTTCACTTTCAAGCCTTATCTACAATGTGTGCCCTTTTTGCGTCTAGAAGCATCCTATTTTATATAAACAAATGGAAACGCTGAAAAAATTTTGCCGACAATGTCGATGATTGTACAGTGTATAATGCACAATTTATTCACTCGCGTAAAGTTTTTAAACGTATTTGTCGACTACAAAAGGGTGTCCCATTTTTAAATTAAAAAAATTTTTGTGTATTGTAACACACAAATTTTCAATAATTGAAGCACTATTCCAACAGCATATACCTGAAACCAAATCAAGTAAAAACGTCCTGTACTACTTTGCCCTCCGACAAACAGTTATCGAGAAATCATAAGCTAAACATTGAAAAAGTTATAAATTTTCTCTTGAATATCTCAAAAAGTATTAGGCAAATAAAAATGTTTCAGACAAAAGTTGTTCATATTAATTGGTAGAATATGTCAGTATAATAAACAATAAGGGAGTTCCATTAAAAAAATTGAAGGTGATCTTTACGTAACCTTATGCCCCCCTCGAAATCAAATAACTTTTGTCTGAAACATTTTTGTTTGCTGAGCTTAGTTCTTGAGATATTTTTTTACTGTCCAAGTTAAAATGGGACACCCTGTAGAATGTTTCTAGACGCGGAGAGCATTAGGCTTCAGCATTTTAACTATGTTGCAAGATACAGAATTAACCCCCAGTACCTCACGATGATATAGATATGTTCTTGCAACGCGAACGTGTGTTTGTGGGGATGTAATATATTCAAATAAATCATGGATATTACGGGTATTACGGGCCCCCATGCGACGCATAAATAGAAAGAGCATCCGCAAGACGCGCCGTCATTAATCTTGAACTTGTTCTCGCCGAAGAAGAATCTCTCTTCTAAATTATAATCTGCACTCGGCCGCTAAATACCCCTCTTGAATTTATTTCAGCTCGGAGTTGTTTCGAAGTAATTCGGTAATTAATTTTGTTATTTAAATGCGAGCAATAATTAATAATTCGACTAACGCGAGTGTACTTCCCTCCCCTTTTTTATCCCGCGGAAAGCAATAATGCGTGCGTGAGGGAGGCTAATTATAGTCCTGTTTATTGCCGGCATTTTTGTTGACTGTGCGGTAAACATTGGCGGGGTTTCTCGTGCCGGAAAATGCATCATTCAAAGGTGAAATTTCGCGAGAAGTGCAACTGGAAGAAAAAAAGAAAGGGAGGGAGAGCATGGCGGTACACCACGGCGATACCAGCAGCTTGAGAGGTATATTAAAGCCATTTCCGGCGCCGGGCGTTTGCCGGGCTTTGGTTACGATTCCGACTCTACTTATAATGTTCTGCAAGGTGGCGAGGAGGAAGAAAATGAAAAAGCTACGAAGCGAAGGCAGAAACGGGGAGATGGAAGGAACAGCGAGACGTTTCTATGGCGAAGCTGCGGAGAGAGTGTCGTCGCCGGGGTAATTCGATTCGCGGCGGTTCATAAAGCGAACGGTTCCATAGAAATGCACGAAGCCTCATTAATTCATTTAATAATTCAGCCGTTACTTATTGCCGCGCTCCCCTTAGCGAACAAATACACGGCGTCGTAATTGCGCCCAGGACGCGAAGCGACGTAAAGGCCTCCTGCGTCCACGGTGCTAGAACTTGGTCCAAGTTTTAGTTTCGCGAAATGTGTAGCCAATCAACTTGCAGCTATTCCATAAAAGCTGCAAGCTGATTAGCTACACGTTTCTCGGAACTAGAACTTGGACCAAGTTCTAACATCGTGGGCACAAGACTTAAGAAGATCGGGAGTGCGTCTCGGAATGGAACGGACATTTTTTTTCTTTCATATCGAATCTCATCCGCGTAATCTGCCCGTATAAATCGAAGCTTCCTCTACCGAGCTCAATATTCCATCCTTCATACATGGAAAGAAATGCTGTTGAATTAAAAAAAATGAAGTTGCTTGAATTAAACATTAACGTCACGGGCTGCCACAAATATAAATAATTCACTCAATTGTATTTGCTATGGATTTTAATTTTAAGCATTGAACTAAATATCCAGATCATTAAGACAATCTGATGTTTTTCATTTATTAATACTGATGTTGCTTCAACGATTTTTTTCCGTGTATATTCGTGGACCAATAAAGCCCCATTTTCTTGAAACACTGCAGAAGATAGTCTCCGCGTTCTATAGATGATACCTCTTCCCTGTACAAAGGTACAGATAAATCTTCATTGTGCTATCACGTGTATGTACAGTGACGGACAGAATGGTTGCGACACTTTCTTTTTTAACGAGTTAAGGAACTTGCATTTAGATTTAACGTTCCAAAATCTTCTCCGAGGAGCATTTTGCTCGATGGCCATTCCGAAACCATTTTGAGCGTTTCCGATCTATTTCTCGAGTAAAAGTTTCCTCATAGAAAATATTTTGGAATGTAAACCTGAATCTAAAGGTGCGTTCCCACACTGTAAAAAAAGTATGTACAATTACATACATAATAAGTATAGCGATTACACTATTAATAACGGAAATATGTAAATTTATATATTTTTACAAAACAATTTTCTTTTACTCTTTGTTGTGTAAATACTTGTTTATACAGGATGAAAAATTAGAAAAAATTGTAAAATTTACACAACTAAAAACAAGCAGTTTATTTATTATACGAGGTAATAATCGTGCCTACAAGATGTAAAACTGACGTATGTAACACACCTTTAATAGATGGTCCCAATATTACCTACTATAACAATTGTAATTTTACATGTAATTTTTTTACAGTGTAAACTCATTAAAAAAAAAGTGTTGCAACTATTCTGTCCACTACTGTACATCCCGTTACAATGATCGATCGCCGTTACAAGAGTCTCGGGGGGGGGGGGGGGGGGTAAGACGGGACTGAAATCGAGAGCGGAAATACCGCTGGAAGAAACAAATCGTTTCGAAGTATAATCAAATAATACCGCGCGATAAAAGACCGATAACACTGAGGGCGACGTCCCATGGAGCGGAATACGCGGAAGCGGAATCAGCGGATCGCCAATCGCAAGATTATTCTGATAGAGCCCTTTCAAAAATTCCGTCGAAACGGTCTTGTGATTGGCGATCCGCTGATTCCGCTTCCGCGTATTCCGCTCCATGGGACGTCGCCCTGAGCGGTCAATTTCGGAGGACACGATTGCGCACGACCGCGAAAATACAAACGTAGACTTCGCCCGGCTGTCATTACATCGGAAGGCGTATTCCTCTCTGCATTTCAATCGAGAGGAACAATCGTAATATTCCCAGGCTCGAATAAGCGATAGGCAGTCGCCTTTGTCGTGCTCGTAAGATGACAATTTACGTAGCGCAGAAATAGGAAGGGCGAGAAGGCGGAAAAGGGCGAAAAAGAGGGAGAATGATGCGAGAGAGGTGACAGGGGTGAAAGAGCGAAAGAGAGGCGGCGGCGTGGTTTCTACACGGTGAAGCTTTAGCTTCCGTTGTCGTGGTAAATTCGATGGTCTCTTTAATCTCGCGACCCACTGCCATTCGTTTCACGCCCGCGCTCCTCTGTCTCTCCGGTCGGCCGGGCCGCGACGTTCTCTCACCCCCCCGACTTATTCTTCCACAACTTTCACCCTTTCGTTCGCCGCGGCGACGGCGACGGCGACGACGACGGCGGCGGCGGCGGTGGCGGCGGAGCCAATGGCACGGATAGAAATTCCGGCGGTCTCGGAAGAAAAGCAATCGAGAGAAGATTTCGCCGTGTCGTCGCCAGAGACGGGGCGCGTCGCGCGGAGGATGATCTATCTCTGTTTTCTCTCGAGCCCCGCGACCGGGGATCGAAATAGAATTTTGCGGATAGAATTCTGCGAATGGAATCTTATTGCGGGACGCGGACTAGAATTTGTGCTTACCGAAATAAGAGCTAAAGGCAATAGCGGGAAACGCAGTTAAGGATAACAACAACTTTTGAAAAGAATGTTGTCATAAATATAATAATCTCGTGATCAGATATCGAAGTGATACCTTAGCTTAAAAATGACCTTTTAATATTTTCTAAAGAGCCCTTTTCGATCAAGAGAACATTAACACGATAGTGGATTTTCGCAAGATAATAAAATTAGATTCAAGAATTGATTGAAACATCGAAGCGACATGATGTCTTAGCTTGAAAATTGCTTTCTTTTAATGTTTTTAAACTTTCTGGAGGGCTTTTTTCGATAAAGAAAGCATTAACACGATGATGGATTTTTGTAAAGTATAGTAAAAAAATGTGATTCGAAAGTTAATTACTTGTAAAATACGTGCATACGAAGCTACATCGTTAGGTTGAAACAATTTCGGCGGAGATATCAACAGGTTCGTTACGGCAAAAAAATTAATTGCACTATAGTAACGCGGGATTCTTAATGCTCGAGATCCGCGAGAGATACGCCGCTTCGGAACGCAGTTGCTTTTTGTTTTCTTTTAATGCCGCTCGAAGATAAATCGCTCGAAGAACGCTCTCTGGAGAGACGTAGATAGGTACTCCTAGATAAATCATTTTCGTGCTATTAAACTGCTCGCAGCTTTTCTTGCAGGGTATAAAACTGCGGGGCTAACGAATTCCAAAGGATAACTGTATTTCTTTGATTTGCAATAAAACCACGGCTCGCAAACAAATAATTATAAGAATTATGTCGCGACGCCACGAGTATTTTTCGCTTACGCGAAACCGTGTAAAACCTAATTCTGCGCGTTATTATTAAATTGGAGCTTTAAATTAGAGTGCTCGTCGTATCTTGAATATCGTGAAAGTGAAAGTACGAAAGTTCTGTCGGTGTAAATTTGCGGGCGAAGAGATGTCGATGCAAATCTACTCACGGCTCTGAGTGGACTTGACTTCGATGATGAGTTGTCGGTCGATCGGCGAGTCCAGGATCCAGGTACACTTCTGCTGGTAATACTGATTCAGCTTGAGCCCGGCGCTCGCCAGATCACCGCCATTGACCTCGCCTTCCGGCTCCGCCGTTGTGTGATCGCCGCAGTAAGTGTCATTGATAAACTTGTAGGCCGCGTGGAAATTGAGGCCCGCCCTCGACGACCTCGACCACTCGATGTAGACCGGGGTCCAGCTACGAATGCCTACCGGAAGCCAGTCCTGCGCGATAATAGATCCCGTTAGACGGATGAAATGAGGTCCGAGGGATACGGCGTGGAAAATGATGGGCAATTTAGAGAAAAGGGCAGAGACTACGAGAACCGTTGGGAAATCGAAAGTAACGCGAGTGTCGTCGATCAGAAAAAAAAGAGCCGAGACAAGATGCAAACGGTACACGGCAACGTTGATAAATAAACGATAGATAAATTTAGTTGGTCGCAATATCGCAGGAAGAAATATCGATGACTTTTTGACAACCAGGCCGGTATGCTTAATTATCAATCGTGGATTTCAAATTTAATCCTATACAGTTAAATTACACAGATTTAGCTTGTTTGCGTGATAGCCTCAATTGTGTCAGAATAACGAGCATTTGAATATGAAATGATGATCCCACGAGTCGAAATCGTATTACAGTTTATAGACTCGCCATAACGATTACACTCGATCAGGTATAATCTGATAATACGTCTATTAATAATCATCGTGTGGATAGAGTCAAAGTCAGGTCAGTCGGGCGGTGTACGCGCGAGATTGTGGCGTGCGGGTTTCGCGTCGAATAAATTATTTAGCGTCGAGAACTTCCCGCTGAACGTAAGACTCGGAGATCGTCAGAGTCCGCGGGATACACGCGTTTTCGAATGCGCGCCACTTTTTTTTTCATTTTTATTTTTACAGCGGTACATTCTTCGTGATAATCGCACGCTAAATTTACTAGAACCAACGCAGATAATTGCACAGTAAATTTCAAAGTTTTACCCACACATTGATTATACAACGTTGTGGCAAATGATAAAATCACGTTTAATGAAACTGGTATACATTTCATGCGTTAACAATATTGTATACGTTACATTGAATTAATTTCCCGCAGCTAACAATCCCGTACCGAGCTTCACCTCGCGACGGTTAGTTCACCGATAATAAAGAATGCGTTTCAGATTTGCGAGAAAATCGGGCACGGTGATGAATTCTCCTTCTGAAATGGGGAAAAAAAGAGAAGCATCTCGCTGAGTAAAACGATATGATAAATATGGAGAGCCATTTGCGTAAAATTGCATATAGCGTGCGATATATTTTAACGACATTGCCGACGTTTTCGCGTGACAATGCGGAGGATATAAAAGTTGCGGTAATAACGATAGCTTTTATCTCGCGGCATTCAAGGAGCGGAAGCGCGCGCGCGCGGCATAAGAGCGGCCGCGCTCCGCCGAGACGCTCATTCGAGGCGGATGCCACGGAATAAAGTTTTTCCGCAGCTCGCGCTTACCTGGTAATTCCCGCAGAGACAGGTGACAATGTGTCCGGTCTCGGAGACGAGCAGGAGGTGGTCCATACTCTCCAGGGACTTGCTGACGCAGTGGCAGCCGCTGTCGCCGCACTTGGTCTCGCACGGGTTGTTCGGCGTCTGCTTCGTGCTACCCTTCACCTGCAAACAGAGGCATCGCCATTCCAAAAAGTGCGAGTAAAAATCCGTACGGGCGGAGGGAGGAAGGGGGAGCTAAAAGAATCGCGAAAACACAATTAATTATCGACGTACGTACGCGCAATTAAAATTTGTTCGCTGCTTCTCTCGAGGCTGACGTGTCACGACTGCTCGGAAGCGATTCGAGTTTCCTCGAAATATATATTGTTAAACGCAAAAGGAACACGTATTTCTTTACACGCGCTCGCGTTGAGATTTAAGAAATCGCCACTTGAAATTAATATTTGATTTTAAGCGATTTGCGTCCCCGAGTCGAATACTTTGGCCTCAGTTTAGCCTCGTATAATTTTTGAATTGGGAGCAATGAGGTCAAGCTAAGGTCTTTGTGTCGAATATATATTGAATTTTTGGATGGGCCTGAAAGAGTCGCTATATTTCCCTTTTAGCAGTAAAGAGACCAACGCGAGCGTAATCGATATCACGAAGAGAAGATTTATGTAAGTGCAACGTAAAGGATTAAGGTTGCACGATTTTCTCGGTTGTGCGCAACGAATTCGCAACACGGACGCGACGTTCATATCGTTCAGCGCGGGATTACAGCTGGTATGTTTCCACCAGGAATTCAATTGTTACACTTTATCGTTCTCGCAGGAGTTGCTGGAACCCGTGGTCTTGTCTTCGGGACCGCGCCTGATCCCGCGGAATATTATTTCTGCGCAGATTAAAGGCTCGCGCCGCGAATACAGATAGAAAGTTTTAGAAACCTAAAATCCCTCCGCACACCCGACGACGGTGTTTGCGCGAGGGGGTTCCTTTCCCTCTTTTCCGCGAATAAATTTCAACACGCGAGAATCGTCGACGGCGCGTCTAAAAACCGAGAGTGAATTTGCGAGAATTCAATTCCCCCGACGGTCGATTAAATGAAGGATAGAAATTAGACATTTCGTCGGGGAACTCACAGTAATGACCACTGATTGGTTTGGCGCCGGTATAAAGTGCTGCCTACACTTCACCGGGCCTTCCATGGCGAACAGCCGATGCGGTTCCGGATGCACCACCGAGCCCTCCACCGGCGACGTCAACCCGTAATATTCGACGTCGCACACGCTGGCCGGCTGCTGAGTGCCACCCTCACGTTCTGGAGCATCAGATGAAAATGCGTCGCTCATGGAAATGTAGAGAGAAATTACCTCGCAAATTATGCTTTGCAAAAATTAAGATTTAATCTGTACGCGTAAAATGGCACCCCGAGACTCTCTATAATTCAGTGTAATTTCTCTTGTGCAACAAATTTATTAGAAATTTAATAAATCAGCAAAGTTAGCTTAGGTGGAACGCGGCAGAGGCACGATATCGATAATTAAAGGAAAATTGTGATGTATATGTAAAGAAGAGAAGTAACAAAAAGAACTGAATGGTATTTCACAATCTCTAGCAAAATTATTGATATCAAAGTAACAAGAAGAAGATATTAGGCTGCAGAGTTCATTTTGAACAATTTTCAACCCTTTTCTCTGATACAAGTAATACAACATTGGCATTAGAAACGTTTACTAAGGAAAATTGCGATTTTTGACGTTATGTGGGCGCCAGTTTGCGTGTTGAGGGTCATTTTACGTTATTTTGCGTTTTAAAAACGTGTTAACACGAAGTTGAGGACTCCAAATTGTAAAGAAATGACATTAAAGACGTTCCTAGGGCATTTTGCGATAACTCAGAAATAGATTTCCTATCGCCAGTAATACAAAGCCAATGATAGTTCTTTGAAACGACCTACACTGGCCAGTGTTTTTATTTAAAAAAACCCACAACGTTTCGGTCCCGAATTTGGACCCTTATCAAGTATTCTGCAAACATACATAAATTACTATATTTTTTTAAATATATAAATATAAAAAATATAGCGCAAATAATTACAGCGAAAGTAAACCGCAGATCAATACCTTGTTCACACAATTGCCATTGAAAAAAAAGCTGGGCAAGAACTACCTTAAGTGACATTTCTTCTTATGAAAAAAGTCATACGAATTTATAAAAATTAAAGGGGCCCCACCATAGCACCCATACTAACCGCTCCTTCGTGCGGGAGCCACCTTAAGGGGATGCTGGAGTCTCTCTGTTTTACCGACATTTTTTATATAAGGACATCTTTTAATTGGCTTTACAGAATTGTAAATTCTTGTATTGGCATGTGTATTGGCATCTATTCGATCT